GCTCCCTTTTCGCACAGCTTCCCGCTCCTCCCTTCCCCTTCTCCTCCTCTCTTGCTCTCTCTTTAGGCAAGCGCCGCAGAGGACGAAGGGCTCGAATTGAGCGGGTGGGAGAAGTCGGCCCTGTTTCTCCTTTCAGTCTGCGCGTGGAGCCTCCGGGAAGAATCTCACGCGAGAGTAAAATGGGCTCTTTCAGCTAAGTCGATCCACCCTGCCCCCTCCCTCTGGGGCAAGAAAAACGCAAAGGGACAACTTCCCTCCTGCCTCATCCTACCTCCAGTGTCCCTTCCCTCCCCCGGGCTTAAAAAGCAACGCAGCCCCAGATACTGCAACGGGAGCCAGGCTAGGGAAAGGGGCAGCGACGCTGCGTGAACGCTGCAACCAGCCCATCGCGGTATGACAGCTCTGAAAATTCCCCGGACAAGTGAATTTCAGAAAGAATCACAACTGTTACGAAGCGCAGTTCCCGAGAAGAGAAAAAGCTGCCGAGATGAGGATGGGTTATTTAAGTGAAAAGGAGGGGAGAATTGACACAGGATCACTACAAAAAACCCAAAAAATCTTTCCTGTCTCTCAGCCTTCGGGTAACTTTTTTGATTCAAAGTCGTGAAGGGTTTTTATGGCTGCAGCCTCATTTTTCTGTTCTCGGGCTTAACCAGAAAGGGATAACGTCTCCACAGTTTTTTCCTGGAGGAGCATTTTAAATGGATGCCCACTCCAAGTAAATCACGAGGAGCAAAACCCGTTGCCTGACGTTTTGCAGGACTCCGGTTTGAGCCCTGGCTCAGTGCGCACCCGTCAGCAGCAGCGCCTAAGGGGCAGGGCCGGACTGACGTACAAACTGCTGCGCCACAGCCGTCGGGGACGGAGACGTGTGCCCAGGTAGGGACCACCGCGCTGTGGGCACCTACAGGTACCTCCGGTTTGCTGCGTTCCTAAAGCGAAATGCTATTTTCCACCCTGGCCAGAGAGCGCATCCTTAGCAAAGCCGACTTGACTGATTCCGCATGGGAGTTTTTCAAGCCTGGGGTATCATAACCCCATCAGCCACGCTCTGCTTGAGAGCAAGTCTAAGCTGTACTACAGCAGTCCACCGACAATCAACAGTGGTGAGCTAGGGCATGTGTTCCCTGCGGCATTAGCTAGGCTTAAAACACAAACCTTGGCCTTAGTCAAGCTCTAGTCCTCCAATATCAATGGTTTAGCTCTGATGAATCAGTATCTGCACCCGAGCTAGTAAGCTCATGACAGGCTGCCGACACTGCAGGTAACGTGGGGAGGATGTAGCTGTTCTGCGCCGCTCACCCGAGCTCCAGAAACAGCCCAGGCTTTGGGGTTTCTGCAGTGCGGTCACTACAAAAACTGCAAACTAATATACGAACTAGGTGGAACTAGAACAGGTGGAAGCTTTGGTCGTGATGAGGAAATGCAATGTGAATTGTTTTGCTTTCAGTTTTCAAGATAACTCGCACTGGAGTAAGCAGTCGTGAGGACAAAATGCAGCATGTTTCTGAATGCAACTCAGATAAATAGCCGAGGGGCGCATCCTCTCACAGAACAACTGGTTTCCTGTCTCACGTGCTCTTCTGTCTATAACCTTGCCTCAGTCACTGACTTTAGCAACGTTACCTGCTTCTTGGGAGGAAGAGTTTTCGTCTGGCATTTCCCATATTCATTATTTATTACAGTCTGGGGCTGTTATGTGGTGGGGGGGATTTCTGCTAGTTCTTCAAATGTGACTTCAAACTTGCACTTGGCCAGCTACAGCGCCTCAAAACGTGGTTTGCAAATAACTTTGTTTTCTGATCTGATACAGTCTCCAAATGCTTTGTGGTCTCTTCTATCTACTTTAACTATCTAATCCATCTCCAGCATTTATACCTCTTACCCTGCTGCAGTAGCCCCTTACGGAGATTATCACAGCTGGACTATTCAGGCTTTGCTCTGTCTAGCTGAGCTTGTCATTGTCAAGGAAGCAGATGTGGCATTTGGGAAGTATATCCTGTCCTCGGGCTTGTGTTCACAGTGGCCAGGGGATGCTGAGCCAATTACAGCACTAACTGCAGTTGTAAAGGGACAACATTTCTAGAAATACCTAATGCAGATGGCCGTTCTCTTCTAGGAATCAATAACTGGATGCTGACAGGTCGGGCTGCTGTTTACTCCTCCCTCTGGTGTTCGAGGCAATTTAGGGGATCTCTCAGACATAAGCAAGGGCCAAACGGCCACACAGTCAGAGATGGGTCCAGCTGCATGGTGGGCGCATGGACAAGCAGCAAAACCACACGAGCTCGTTCTTTGGCCATGCGCTTTGACGTGCCTCTGTGCAAGTGTCTGACTGCAAGCCGAACGAAACAACCAGCGTCCCTGCTCTCATTCTGCATGGGTCTGTTACGGATGCAATCCACAGGCTTTAAAATAAGCAACCATGGAAAATCCTGTCTCTGAACATGATGCCTGTCAGATGGGGGAAATTACAGCCAAGGAGCAGATAGGCTATGGAGTGAGAGCAGTAGGATTATTTATAATCCACCAGCCATTTGGCTACTGAATCCTGCTGTTCAGACAACAGGGACAGAAACCCCCTTCTAGTGCTAGCACTGCTCTTGATGGTGCCTCAATGTGATATTAGCAGATTGGGGTGGAGAGAGAGGCCAAAGATCAGTCTGGGACGGAGTACCACATGTAATAAGTTGGGATCTTTCTTATATCTTTAAACAGAGGAACTGCAGCAAAGAACTCAGTTAATACTTTCTCTCTGTTCCCAACAGCCCCGAAGAGCCAGAAAACTGTGCTGGCACACAGGAAAGGGCACGGAGGTGCAATCATTGCATCCGACTGCAGCTCTGGCCACACTTGCTCTGGCTTGAAATCTGCCCACCCTTCCTGGTCTTGTTTTCCAAAGTCGTAAAAATGGGGTAGGACTGTTGCACCGTCTCTTGTTGTGAACATTGCGGCCGAAAGCTCTCGAGACTGTGTAAAGTGCTAAGAGTCAGTCACAGACCGCATACAACGCACCCCCTAATTTCGGCATCAGCTTTGCCTCTTAGCAACTTGCACCGAGAGCAGCCTCTGCGTTTAGTGCACGGCTGCAGCACCCTGAGCCCTGCAACTTGGGGTGAGCTGCCCGGCGGCTGCGCCCCCTGCTTTCCCCCCTGCTCCAGGAAGAGCCGGTGGGTCTCTCTCTCACCCTGTAGCGCTCAACGAGTTTGAAGCCCACGACGTACTGCAGCTTGCGCAGGCAGATGGGACACGGCTCCAGGGGCCGCAGCAGGGCTTCGTCGAGGCTCAGCGCGCCCTGCATGATGCACTGCAGCCAGCGGCAGGTCCCCAGCCCCATCAGGTGGCAGATCTCGTGGCAGGTCACCTTTCGGGAAAGCACAGATTGCAGCAGCACATGGTCATTCAAGCTTCCTGCTTCCACCACCCCTGCTCCATGAGGTAGAGAGACGGGTTTTACCCAGGCCTGAAATACAAATCCTATGTTGCGAGAAACGTGGGGTGCAGGAGGTTGCTCGTCCTACCTTACAGCACTGGACCATCTCCAGGGCACTGAACGGCAATGTCCGGTCTCTGCTTTCCTCACTGACTTCGCATAACCGCTCCTTCCGTGTGAGGGGAGTCAAGCGGCTACCACCAGCCTGGGGGAAATCCCCAGAAAATCTGGCAAAGCTGCAGACTCCTACTTCTGCAAAGAGAGGCAAATATAAATGAGGCACCAGTCCTCCTGTGACTGCCTCTCACCTCAGGTAGCATGAGAAGAAAGCTGTTGTAGCACAATCCAGTTTAGCACGCTGCACTTGACCGCACAGCATGCATCGGGCCGTGCTTCCCATAGGGTTTCTAGCACATCAGGTTCCTTTGCCTAAATCAGCAGCCTGAGCCCTGACTCCCTTAATTTTAAATTGGAGGAAAAACAAAAAAAAAAAAAGTTCCTCTTATCAAGGAGCTGAATAAAATTTGGAGGATAAGATCTGGCTATTCCAATCTCCCAGGGGAGGCTTTTTGGTACAATTTTTTCATACTCTGTGTTGGGAGATCGTCAGATGTAAAATCCCACCTTGTCCTGGCAGGAATTTGCTGAATGTGAAGCTCCAGGTCTCACACGGGTAAAGGTCCAGCAGTGTGAGTCCCAGGACACACAGTGCATCCATGGGCTTGTTGTTCTTCAGGAAATTCAGGATCCCATCTGGTTAAACACAAGAGAGATGTTCATTAGAGTGAAGCATCCCTGGGAGGCATGCAAGAGCCAGATTTCCTCCTGCTAACAGAAAAGAGCCTATAATCCAGCCTGCAGGTTGGCAGAGCTGCTGGACTCAGTATCTTGGATGGAGAATCACTGTTGTATGGTCCGTTCCCTCAAACTGGAGTATGAGCAGACCCGACCTCCTTTGAGGTGATGCTGAACACTGAGTTAAACCAAAGGAAAACTAAGGGCAGAGACAAAGATTCCTGTTCTGTTATGGGTGAATTCGGCACTAATCCATGGAGATAAGTGCCTGGAACCGTAGGAATTTCCCTACAGGCATTCGAGAGCTGGCCTGTAGCAGCCCCATCGCTGCAGCACTGGGTCTTTGCTGAGCACATGCTGCCCCTGGTACCCGGAAACCGCTTGTTCCAAAGGGATGTTTGTGCAGCAGGAGTTTGGCAGACGATAAACCCATCTGTCTAGGGATCTGTGTGACACTTGGACCTCGATTTCCTAACATGAAAGGCCAGTGAATTCCCCACCTGTGCCACCCAGGCCACTGATTTACTTTGGCTTTGGACAAAAGGTGGGAGAACTCCGGCTACATGAAATCTACAGCCCTTCCCCTTCCAGCTGATTTAACCACTTTGCAGCACTGGATCTAAACATAATAACACTGATAAGTGCAAACAGTAGGGGAAAATGTGATGAAAGTCATTTTGTTTTTTATTCTTGTTTCCAGGCTCAAAGTTCTGGGTTTTCCACAGCAACAGGATTTCTCCCTTCTCACTCCCTTCCTCCCCGCTCCCGGCTCCAGCGGTGCAGGGATAGGTCAGGCGTTTCCAAAGGCAGCGTTCATGCCAGCGTGCCAAGCTGATGTCTCTGCCAGGCCTTACCTGCGTGCAGCTGCACTCGGTCCGAGTCCTGGCTGTGGCGGTAGCGGCAGTGAATAGAAGAGATGGGAACAGAGGGAAGGCACTTTACACGGAAGCCCAGGAAGAAAGACTCGACGCAGCTTTGGAGGGAATCCAGCAGCGAGAGCCCCGCAGGCCCTTCGATTAGGTCTACAAAGAGAAGCTGTATTATCAGTTCCTTGAAGTCAGGGTGAACCATGAGGTCTGAAGAGGGTTTTCTAGGGCTGGCTGCAGCAACTGGGGAAAAGAAAGGCTGGCTCATTCTGAAGTTAATTGCTTGCTATGGGATGTGGCAGACATGTGGAGATGGTTACATAGATATTGAAGGAGAAGCCGGGGCTCTTTCACAGGAGCTGCTCAAGGAATGACTGCTATCTCTCATAACAGAGCAGATCCTCCAGGAAGTTTTTCTCTGAGATAAGTTGTGCAGAAAGATTAACCTGCAGGGTTGGGGGGGATGTTTGTTTTTCATGAACTGGGAGGGATATTGCAAAGATAAATGTGCTTTTAAATTACGAGGAGTTCCAGAACTGCTGTTTTGTCCAGCCTATATATATATATATATATATATTTTTATATCTTCATAGCATGTCTCCCCCAAGGGCACACGTGACATTTACAGGAGATGTTTATTGACTGTTGTCATCATGGCCTGTGACTCTAGATTGGAGGCATGTCAGAGCCTTTGGTATGACAAATTTATTTTTGTTAAGGCAGTTGCCTTTCACAGGTTAGTCCTTAGAAGAGGCCAATGGGTATTAGTGTGCTCAGCACCACCCACCTCCCTCCCTGTCTTTCCGGGGAGCTCAGTCAAGACACCGTGTTTTCTTAGCCCACATTACCTATAGGCTGCAGGTAAATGTGCTTTCGATAGAAATTCTGCTTCCTCCTCAGCATGGAGTGGTAGAAAGTTTCAAAGTCCTCAGGGGCATCGGGATGGCTGAGGAGCCAATCAAAAGCTGTCCTGATGAGCAGTGTGCAGAAGAGCGTTCTCTGGGGGTTGTAGGCTTCAGAAAGAAACAGCTTCTCCGCACTGGAAAAAGCTTTGGCGTAGAGCTCCTGCAGGGCTGGGTTGGTGGAGATCAGAGCGTCCTTCAGAGCCCGGGGCCCGAAGCTGAATTCCTGAGCATGTTTGCATTGCAGCATTTTGGAGATACCCACAAGCTGCAGCACTGCCTGGAGGAGTGGATACAACCATCAGCACGTGGCCTTGCAAAGACCTTTGCTCTCAGAGCAGTTTGCCCCAAGATCGCAACCATGAGGTTTGACTGGGTGCTAGGCAGTGCTGCGCTTGGAGCTGGCCAGGAGCCCTACACTTTTGAGTGACAGTAGCTGATGCAAGGTGCTCTACATCTGCATGTCTGTCTGGTTTATGGGCAATGTACCAGTAGATGGTGCTCAAGAATGCATAGCCCCATTATTGCTACCAGATATCTAGATTAAAACATATGGTTTGTGGGTGGGTTTTTTTTTTTTTTTGGTGACCCACCCCACAGTCACAATAACATAGCAAATATTCCTGTGTATTTGCAGTCATCTGGCTGTACTAGCCCTCATGTGTCATTGAAAAGCGGTGTTCCTTTCTGCTTTAGCTAAAACTCAGCGGTGTTGGGTCTCTCAAAGGCACAGAAATTCAGGGCAGCAGGAAATAAGAGGTAGAACTTGATCTTTATTTTTAGGGCATGCCATCCAGCAGCCCTAAGCCTAAACTTCTGACTGATCTGACACCAATAAAAGCAGCTATGCACTGTTGACAATTCTCTCTAACAGCTTTTAATCCTCGCTCTTAGGTACTGATCCCGGGGCGTCTGCTAGCTCACAGCATTGTCATCAGGCTGCAAGATGTGGCCAGCCCGATGTGCAGGTGGGACATGATACGCATGACTTGTGTTTGTTGGTTGTACTTCTCTAGCTAGATATCTATGGGCCCACTGCCATCACGTCACTTCATGAGCAACTTCATGTCACACTGTGTTAGCATCAAGAATGCCGGTGATGATGCTAAGTGGTAAATAAAGAGCAAATAAAAGCCCTCAGCAGAAAGAAATTAATTCATAGCATCCCAGAAATATCCTTTCCAGGGAACTAAGGCCAGCATTTTCCAAAAACCTGCAGAGGTCAGACACCTGACCTCTATTTCCCAATGCAATTTATGCACCTATGAAGATCTCAGTGGGTATCTGGGAGAAAGCAGAGAAAGAGAGGAAATGAAGTGCCATAAACCCCTATGGCTACTGTATGTCTGGGTTTTCCCAAGACATTTGTTTTTTGGCAAGGAGATCATGCCGAGTTGAATTAGAGTATTTTGGAACAGTACTTTGGGCAGGGCCACCAGCACTGGCCTCCCGGCTATGAAGACGGTGTATGCGTAGCCCTGACTCCACAACGTATGCCAGGTTGACACTAGAGGATGGCTGACCAGTATATGGATATTGCACACACGGTCGCTACGTGCACAATGAATCCAAAGTGTTCTGGAGCATCGTATTTACTGCACTTACTTCCACCCAAAAAATCTATGACCAATATGGGAGAGTAAGCCAGAAATTGTCTGAAATGCATAAAGAGAAAGCTCTTAGGCTTTTGAATTATGCTGTGGAAAAAAAGTATATGTTGGAAAAATGGACAACAAATCTTACTGAGCTTCTTCTTGAGTCTTAGGATCTTGATACAAGTAGCTGCTCCATCACTTTGTATACAGAAAAATGAAAGTACACGTGTACACACACACAAGCACTGGGTTTCTGGGAAGGAGTTCTATCTTATGTGAGGCAAGTTAAGCCTAAGAAACCTGACAAGCTTTCTGGCTCCATAAGAAAATCTGTAAGTTGCTGACCATCACCATTTAAAAACACTAGGCAACCACACGAAAATGACAAAAAAAAAAGAGGCGAAATAATATTTTTAGAAGGGACGGGTTAAGTCTGTAATTTAAGTAGCTCTGCAGCACAGCTCTGCCAAGTCTAGTGGCTCTTGAGAACAGCGATATAATGATGAATTTAATATTTAAAAAATAGTACCAACAGGATCCAAATTCTTTCCTCAGTCACGCAGAGATAACTCTGGCAGTTTGTGCCAGAGGAGAAAGATGGCAGCCCAATAAAATTAATATTTAATTTCTTTACATCTAACCAAGTATCCCTTGGGAAGATACCTGTGTGCATAAGCAGTCCTTACCAAAGACTCATTCTGTATGCTCTTTTTTGGCGCTACCGGTAGGTAGCAAGGGAGAGGGAATGGATAAGCAGTTTTCTTTTCTTCCCACAAGCTTTGTATTTTGCTAGCATTAACGCCTGACTGCAGACAGCACAGTGGGACCTGAAGTGGTACTGGGGGCCTAATCTAATAGTAGTTTAGAAAAGACCTGCAACACTTTCTCAGCCACCTCTTTGTGTTGCCAAATTGCTTCTGTCGATTTTTATAGGTAGAAACAAGAATTCAGGTGAGGTTGTTTTGCACTTTGTTACCAAAATCTCTGCAGCTCTGACCTGCTTGCAGAGTTAGGAGGGTAAAATAAGATGCATGGCCCCACTGAAGGCATCAGGAGTTTGGCCATGGGCTTTAGTAGGGCCAAGATTTCACTTATTCTACGTGAACTCGAAATATTGGTGGTATGCAGAACTTATGCATGGAAACTATTAGCTATATTAAAATCACTGAGGGTGTGATCTGGCTGTCTGCTACTTCCAAGGAAATCAAGGACAGCTTTTGCAGACTCATCCAGTACTTTGCAGAACTGTCCTAGGAAAGTCGCCATGATGGTCCAGGCTGAGACTCATCTTGTCAGAGAAGATCTCTGAGAAGTGCAAGCCGCTTTCGCCAGCACTTCCTGGTAAGTAAGCACAGTGTGGGTACGCGGGAGGAGGAGTTGGTTGGAAAATGAATAGATTTTTCTTTTCTAAATGGGAAGTAGAGAAGAGTGGATGCATGCGACAGTGAATACAATGAGCGCACAGTCTGTTGGCGTATGTTCCCCCGGGCTCTCTCAAGGAATATAGTGTGTACCCAAAGCTGTGGGATATACGTTGTTTCCCAAGGCTTCCTAAAAGAGAACATTCACCCCATAGCAGCTTTCCCCAGCTAAGAGCACAGGCGTGCTGCGAGCATCCACCAAGCCCAAAAACGTCCATGATTACACTTAGTAGTTTAAAACCTCAAGTAGAGGATTTCACTTGTAATGCATTGTCTGAAGTTACCTCCCTCTCCTGGACTCCCTAGTTTTGCCTCAGATAGACTAGCTACAACCCATTACATCCTCCAAACCCCAAATGATCACTTTTATTTGAGAAAATCTTCTCAAATACTTCACTAGAGAAAATTAACGTTTCAGAAAATTTTTATGGACACCATTAGCAGTTTAAAAAAATGTTTTACAACATTAACTATAGCAGATATTATTTGCACCTGATCTAATACATGGATATACTATGTCATTAACTGAAGTGGTGCAAAAGGGCATTGTAATTTTCAGCTTGTGTGTCAAGGACGCGGCGTGTAATGCTCTGATGCAATGCCTCAGCAAGGAATGACACACGAGCTTAGACAGGCAACTGTTTTTCCTCAGTGTTTAAAATGCCAAAGTGGTGATGCTGAAGTGAAAGCACCAATGCATCCTTGTGCCCCTCAGGTATACAGGAAGGAGAAACCATAAAGTGAAAAAAAAAGAAAAGTAAAGGTGCAAGGGGGAACTAAAAAACAAATATAAAATACACCGAATCAACAATAAAGCTTCCTAAAACAAGCTAGGTAGATTCATAATCCTTAAAGCAAAAACAAACAAGCAAGAAAAAATTTTTTTTAGTTTTTCAGGCCTCTTGCTTAAAGACAAAGCATGGAATTTTACTAATGAGTCCTGCAGAAGAGAGAGGAAGCCTTAAAGGCCAGTAACTTGTAGCTGAACTTGAGGAAATCCTCAAAATAAGCAATGCCAATTTAAAGATCTGCAAATGAAGACACTCGCCACTTCCACTCCATTCTCTATTCTTACCACTTTTAAAAAGCATCCTATTTCCAGTCTGAATTTTATTATTGCAACTTGCAGCCAGTTGCTTATATTATACCTTTTCCAAAACAAAGAGCACCCTGTTATCGGACGCTACGAAAGGGCTATGCCGATCTCTGTGGTACAAAAGATGAGGCTGTGCCATTGAGGCAACCCCCAGCGTCCCAGTGGGGCATGGATGGGGCCACCCTGTGCCGGGAATCCCAAAGGGACGGGAACTAAGCCGGACACTTGTCCCTCCGGGCGGCATGCCAGGGTGCACACGCTGCACCGCTCCAGCCGTGACCCAGGACAGGTATTTTTTCCAGGCTCAGACCATCACAGCTGAGCAGTCAGTATACTGCCTTTGTTACAGTAACCGTAAAGGACTTTATATGCAATTCAAGTTACTCATAAATTATTCTCTTTGCAAATTAGGCACCTATAAATTATTCTCTGTAATTGAAAATTACCTATGAATTATTCTTTTTGTAATTCACAGATATGTCATTTATTCTCTGTTATATTGACATCACTTTCTTGGATAGATCTGCCCGGGGCTGACAGTAACAGTGTCATGCTCCAAATCCAGGGCAATATTATACAGTATCACGCGAGTTCATGGGGATATTCTGACATGACAGAAACGGTCCTCAGTAAACAAATCCCGTGTAGTACTGGTCCAGAAAAGGATAACAAGTGTATAGCAGTTTTATTTGGTATTTTCTGGAATCTGGCCCTAACATTGTATATTTTGCGTGTGTGTGTGTGTGTGTGTGTGTGTGTGTGTGTGTGTCTTAAGCTGGTTATTCTGAAGCTGTTTATTTTATAAGTCAACTTGTAAGTCATTTCTAACTCTGTCTCTCTCATACACACTGCAGACCACAGATGCATAGAAGGAGTGTTAATTTGGCTTCTTTCCCCTCTCAAATCTTATGAAGTATTTGGAGACAGATTCATTTAACTGGGCTCTTTGGATATCAGAGGGACATCAGCCAAGTCTGTTAAAACTGATTCATTGCTTAAATTAGGCTCTGTACTGTAAATAAGCAGTGATAGTGCAGAAAATTCATAGCCCGTCAACCTAAATGAAAAGCCCAGAGCAAACATTACAAGCATTAGCTAATTATCAATAAATGCCCTAGTTACTTAATAGCTCCTTTCCTGAGATCTGCAAGTGCTATCTGCTACTGCTACTTTTAGATCATTTGCTCCTCCCCTCACAGGTGATAGCCTGAAAGCAATTTTCTCAGTTTGTTGACCTATATGGAAAAAGATTTTTCTTGACTAAAAGTTCAGCTCACATTGGGTAAGAAAGTCCAGTGCAATGGGAGAAAGAGAGGACGTTCAGACGTGGGAGCATTTAACTCTGGTACAAGTAAAATTCTCGTTACTCAAGCTCCTTCCTCAAGGACCTAAACATAGTCATTTGCACAAATTGACGCTTTGCATTAACTTTGCATTAAGAGACTTTGCATTACACGGCCACAGAGCAATGAATCAGATCTTTGTGTGTTCCAGACCATAAAATTAGATAAGATCCTTCTGGCCTCAGGTACCGCCAGATCCCAATAATATTTATGTGTAATGTCTCTAGAATATCTTTGTGACA